GTGGAGTCCCTTGTATGTCACCATTCTCTATGACTTCTTCTTGAACTGAGGTCTCCATATGCTCCATTGTTTTGCCTTTTGTCGAGGTCAAGTTGTAGAGAGACAATGTCATTCTCTACTACCTTTATTTCCCAGTTCGATGTTGAGTCTTCATCAACGATAACATTCCTTGATAGAATTATCTTCTGAGTTGACAAATTGTAAACTCTGTACCCTTTCTTACTGGTTTCATTACCTACAAAAACACCCTTGTTACTTGATTTCTCCAATTTCTGCCTTAGTTGTTGAGGGATGTAGGTGTAGCACATTGAGCCAAACACTCTCAGATGATCCATAGAAGGCTTCCTTCCATTGAACACTTCAAATGGTGTCTTCTTATCCAGTGTTTTAGTAGGGCACCTATTCAATAGGTACACTAAGGTGTTTACAGCTTCACCCTAAAATGTTTAGGGCATGTTCTTCTCATGCATCATAGACTTAGCCATTTCAACTATTGTCCTATTTCTGCAATCCCATTCTATTATGGTGAATATGCCACATTGAGCTGCTTCTCCAACCCCACATCTTCACATAATACATTAAACGCTTGTGAGGTGTACTCACCTTCCATATCACTTCTCAGTCTTTTGATTTGATATCCAATTTGAAATTCCACCATTGCCTTAAACATCTTGAATATTGTGAATACCTTAGACTTGAACCTTATAAAATACACCCAACACATTCGTGAATAGTCATCAATGAAGGTTAAGAAATACCTATTTCCACTGATTGTTGTTGTTTGCATTGGTCCACACACATCCGTGTTAATCAATTCAAGTGGCTTTGTTGCCCTCTCAGCCTTTCCAGCTTCAAATGGATCTTTGTGATGTTTGCCAAACACACACCTTTCACAAGTTTCATTGCATTGATCCATTTTTGGTATCTTTTGCACTATTTCATGCATTTGCAAATTTTGTAAGCTTGTCATGTTTAAATGATCAAGCCTCTTGTGCCATAGCTTCGTACAACCTGTCACACTTGCTTTCCTTGCCACTTCCTCTAGGTACTTCAGCATAAGTGGGAAATTTCTGTTTTTCACTTCCACTCTAGTCACTAGGTTTGATAAGGACCTGTCATCATAGATCTCGACCACAGTTCCCCCAAAGAGTAGGAAATGGCCATGCTCTATCATTTAACCCACACTAAGTAGATTCTCATCCAATCCAGGCACTAGCATCACTTCCCTTATGCATCTTCTTTCTTTCTTGGTGTTAATGACCAGAGTTCCTCTTCCAATGGCTTTGACAATGTTTCCATCCCCCATTTTCACTTTTCCAGTGAAGTTTGTATCAATATGAATAAGTAATGACTCATGTGCAGTCACATGGTTGTTGTAGCCACTGTCAATGTACCACACTTCATTGTTTTTCTCCATTTTTGCACTGAACACATTTGCTTATTCTTCTACTTGATTTGCACAGTTCACTTATTGTACATTCTTTAATATGCAATCCTACATGATGTGCCCGAACCTGTTGCATTTGTGGCACCTGGGCTTGTCCTTGAACCAGCATTCTCCAAGATGGAATTTGTCATAGTGCTTGCATTGCTGCTTGGTTCTTGGACCTTCATTTAAGTAGCTGCCTTGGTTAGGTCTAGAGTTTTGATACCCATTTCTTTCCCATTTCTTGTTCTTGTGCTTCCACTGTGGTTTTTGTTACTTGCACTAACTTGACTACTAGATCCAACATTGTGTGATTGAAAAGCTTTCTCAGGTGAAAAATCAGCATGCCTCTCAAGCCTTTGGTCAAAAGCTCTTAAAGATGCCATCACATCTTGCACACTAAGAGTTTCAGTGTCTTTGGTTTCTTCAATGACACTCACTATTAAATCATAAGGTTTAGTCAAACTAATTAACAATGTATAGATAATTCTTTCATTAGGCAGTTCCTCACCATATGTTTTCATTTTGTTTACAACATCAAATAGCCTAGTAAATTAGTCTTTTAACAGCTCATTCTCCCTCATTCTTTTATACTCGAAATCTCTTCTAAGGGATTGGAGTTTTACCTTTCTGACTTTGGTGTCTCCTATGTACTCTTGTTGTAAAACTTCCCAAGTTCCCTTTGCACTCTCTTTATTTGCTATCCTCGAGAAAATGGTGTTTGAGACAGCACCTTGGATGATTCCAAGTGCTCTAAAATCCTCTATCCGGTTTTGGTTCAGTGTTTGGAGTTGTGTTTCTGTGAGGTCCTTCTCTAGAGCATCGATCTCCATCTCAGGTAGTTCATACCCGTATTGAACCATATTCCATATATCATAGGACTTGAAAATGGTTGTCATTATTATTCTCCAAAAATCATAGTTCTTCTCATCAAATACTAGAGCTTTTAGCTCACTGCTACTGCTGGATCCCTTCATTTGCAGGGTTGTTTGTTGGTTGTTGTTGTTGAGGACACTACGTAGGTGCTCCCAAAGATCTCAACTTGCACATATTACACCCAGAAAGTTGTAAGATCAAAAACTAAACTTTGAGGCCATGATAAAGTTTGTTTGTTTTTTGGGTGTTTTTGGTTGATTGTTTGGATTAGTTTCTTAGGGTTAAAATGGCAGAGAATGAAGATGACCTTTTGGAGTGTGTTTTACGGCTTCAAGGTTGTGCAAAATGCAGTAGCACTGATTTCATTAAGTAAGGGAAAATGTTGTAGTGGATGGTGCATTGCCATGATCCATACTTGTTTTAGAGAGTGATTGACAACAGACCTAAACAACTATTTTAGCCTTACTACTCCAGATTAAATCATAGCCCTTCATTTGGGTTTTAAGTGATCTAATCTGGAGTGTACACTTGTCGCTCACACATACATTTAAACAAAAAAATAACCTTTGGAGGTTTTAACCCTTCATTTATTCTTTCTTCTTCAATGCAGATAACAGCCATGCTCGGGAGCTCCTTGCTGCCTTCGATCCCTCGACTCCAGGAGCTGTTTAGCTTCCAACAGCTCTTGCATAGCTCTTTGCCATAGAAGAAGTCCTGCAACAACTGCTGCACCTTCAGAATCCTAATAGAACCGCCCACTAGCAAAACATCATGGACCGAGCTCTTGTCCATCTTTGTATCTCTCAAACACTTCTCAACCGGCCCCATACACTTTCTGAAAAGATCCATGTTAAGCTCTTCAAACCTAGGACGGGTAATGGTTGAGTAGAAATCAACACCCTCGTACAAAGAATCAATCTCAATTGTGGTCTGAGCAGTGGAGGAGAGAGTCCTTTTTGCCCTCTCACAAGCAATTCTCAACCGCCTACGAGCACTTGGGCTGCTGCTGATAACCTTCTTGTGCTTCCTCTTGACCTCTTGAACAAAGTGATTCATCATTCTGTTGTTGAAATCTTCTCCTCCAAAGTGGGTGTCTCCGGCGGTTGCCTTCACTTCAAAGACCCTTTTTTCAATTGTGAGCAGTGAGACATCAAAAGTGCCTCCGCCAAGATCGAAAATCAAGACATTCTTCTCGCCAACGCTGGTGACCTTCTTGTCAAGATCGTATGCAAAAGCGGCAGCGGTGGGCTCATTCATAATGCACGGAACATTAAGGCCGTCAATGACCCCAGCATCCTTTGTGGCCTGACGCTGAGAATCGTTGAAGTAAGCCGGGACAGCAACAACGACATTCTTTTCTTTATAGATGAGCCAAGATAGGCCTCGGCAATCTCACGCATCTTGACGAGAACCATGGAGGAAATTTCTTCAGCAGTGAACTGCTTCTCTTCGCCCTTGTATGTGACAACAATCGTGGGCTTGTCACCGGAGCCGGAAATGACCTTGAAGGGCCAGTGCTTCATGTCACTCTGAACAGAAGGGTCAAAGAATCTCCTACCAATCAACTAGTTGGCATCTGAAAAATTAACCAAGCTCGTTTAAAAATACTAATTTATTAATAATTCATAACACAAAACAAGCTACAATATCAAGCTAAATCCATTAAAACTTATCAAAAATAAAAGTAACCAAACAGATCATGCTACAAACACTAAAAACTCGGATAGCTTTTTTAAAATTTCATCCAACAATTAACAAGAAACTTAAAACCCAAATTATAATTTTGAACAGATTAACTAAAACTCATAGCCTTGACCACCAATTATAATATTTGATAGTCCATAAATATTAACTAAACAAATCCTGCAAATAAAAAAATAAAAAATAAAATGATCAATTCGCTATAACAAAAAATTCAAGGAACAACAAAACCCTGCACAAGATTAACCTGCATAGTAATTTATCACACCAAACCTCAAAAAGATAATTACTTTCAAGGGAATTGAACTCTTTTTCTCAGAAATTCAGGTAATAGAAATCTAAAAACAGCAAAATTTAAACAACCAGCAAATATTGACAGTAAAATTCATAAAATCAGCAATACAAGCACATATCAAACAGTACAAGGCAAAAAAAAAAAACAACATCACATAAAAAAATTTCGCAAGAAAAAGAAAGTATCTCGATTCTTATCCAGGACGGTGTTGACGGGGTTCATGGCGACCTGGTCCTTGGCCACATTGCCGATCAACCTCTCCGTATCAGTAAACGCCACGTAAGACGGCGTCGTGTGGTTGCCATGATCATTAGCGATGATCTCGACGCGGTCGTGTTGACAAACACCGACGCACGAGTAAGTAGTTCCGAGATCTATACCGATCGCTGGCCCTTCTCCTTTTCCCTCCATTGCAACCGCTGAGATTCAATCAATCAAACAAGCAAAGAACCGCAAAGAAAAGTAAAGAGCATTTGAGATTTTTGGGCGTAGGGTATTGGGAGCGAGAGTAGTGAACGTTGGTATAGTCAATTTACGATTTTTAGTGGGAGGGTGTAGGGGTGGGCAAACGGGTCCTGGACTCGCGGGTCGGGGCGGGTCTTTGCGGTTCGGGGCGGGTACGGGGCGGGTCTTTGCGGTTCGGGGCAGGTACGGGGCGGGTCTAAGAATTACAAATACACAACAGGGCAGGGCGGGCCGGTTCCAGATAAATAACGGGGCGGGCCGGTTCTAAAGATTGTAGAAAACGGGCCCCCGGCCCGGACCGTTGGTCTACTGTGATTACGGTCTCTTTTATTATTAGAATTCGACCCTCACTGTCACTCACCCTTTTATTATCAGGATTCAGACCTAATTCGATCTCTCCGCCTCCATCGATCTCTCCGCTCTCCCGATCTCTCTCGATCTCATCCCTCTCGATCTCCTCTCTCTCGATCTCTTCCCTCTCGATCTCCTTCTTCTCGATCTCTCTCTCTCTCAGTCTTTCTTTCTCTCTCTCTCTCCCATCTCACCTACCCTAAACCTTCACAAGCAGCCGTAAACCAGGCATATACCTAGCTCACCCGCCGTAAACCATCTGCGCCAGCCACAAAGCATCACCAGCTGCGACTTTGTCTCTGATCTGTTTAAATTTTCAGGTAACTATTTAAATTTTCAGGGTTCCAAACGCCGTTGTCTCTGATCTGTGTGTGAGTGGGTTGATGTTTTCTCTATTGTTTTCGGCAAAGATGATCTGGTTTCTCTATTTTTAGTATAATAAAGAGTTCTAGCTCCAATCTATGGTTATTGATATGTTTCTCTTAAAGCTTCCTCATTTTATTATCCTTCTCGGATTCTCGATCGTTAAAAAGTTCACTGCTTTTTGGCGTTTTTGGAGCTCCGGTAGTCTGATAGATGACTCTCTGGTTTCCATTTCCGACTTCATTTGGTTCCGATTGTTTTGTAGTCGTCTTCTTTCCTGTTAATTTTAATTTTTTATATTTGGAGCTGAGTAGTGGTTTCGGATGAGTTATCGAATTAAAATTTTTCTGTAAGTGGTTTTAGAGCGATGGCGGGTTTGCGGGTTGTTGCATGCGTTTGTTGTTGGTTTGGAAGTTTTAGCTATTGATGGTGAGGTTTAGAAATTTCCAAACTTGTTGGACCTACTTTCTATTTTCTTCTCATACTTTTCTGCTCTTGGTTTTGTGATTTGTTTAAAAAAAAAAATAGAAAGATATTTGGCCCCAGCAGGTTTTGTATGACTTTTGACTCTGTTTGGCTGCTCAGAAAATATGTTTGTGTAACTTTGAATGCTGAGAAAATGTTGGTAATCAAGCGTTAACTGTGTGTATGGGTTGAGTATAAACGTTAGTAGAAAATATTTATAAACTGAACAAGAATGCAAATTTATGTAAGATGTTCATTATAGCCAGTCTAGAAGCTATTATATATTAAATAAGCTGCTTATGATGTTTCGCTTGATGAAAATTCTGCAGGATCATATTGTACCGGTTGTATCCTCGATTTTCTTACGCAGGCTGCTTCTTCCTGGGGTTCATCATAATATTGCTTTGCGCTCAACCTTGCTGGATTATAACAGGCACTGGAGTGATTCAGATTTCCATTCTCTAACCGCCGATATGTTGAAGAAGGAAATTCTTTCCCTGATTGAACATGAGGTTTGCGTTGGAGTTTTTATTGTTTCTCTCTCACACACTCATATGACACCGTGGAGGGGATAGGAATGACCTGGGGTTGCTAGCTAACAGATAACCAATGTATGTTGTCTATTGTTTTAGGGTGTTAGTGATAATTCAACGTCAATATTGTGCTGTTGGAAAAAATTCTGTTCTCCCTACTTCCAAAATTGGTGCAAGAGCAATGCACTATGTGGCTTGCTTTTTGGATTCCTACAGGGGTAGTTTTGGATTGATCAGAAAGAACTCAGTATCTCTTTTTCGTTGTTCGGAGAATATTGAGCGGCTTATTAATGGTATCTCAGGTATTGTTGCTTTAGCTGAACCTTTCCATTTTTTTGTTTTAGGACCAATTATTTCTTATTTTTAATGCTTGTCCCTTTTATTTTGGAATTCTCACATTCATATTTGATAGGTACTTCTGGTGATCTCATCCATCTTGTTACCATGGAGGCGGGTTTAATTCTTCAATTAGAGGTGCTCGTTAAAATGCTTAGATGTGTTGTTAATGTCAGCCAACAATTGGGAAAAACAGCTTCTGCTATATTTTATGAATCATTAGTTAGTGCACCACTCGTTATCTCAGCTGAGGAAATTACTCATCGCCTTTTTGAAGAATTTAGAATCTGGATATGGTTCAACGGTAGCAATGCTTCATGTATCAGAGCATGGACCTGATGTTGCTTTGGAGAGAAACCTGGCTGATAAAAAAAAAATTGAGGAAATTTTCTATTGGCATGCTGTTATCTCTTCATGCCTTGCACATGAATCGTACTGTTATTTCTTTCTAATGCAGTGTCACTGTGATTGTGCAGTTGCAAATTGCAATCTGTGCAGTTTGCAAACTGTGCAGTGCAGTTAAAAAAAAAAAAAAAAAAAGGGTACCCGTGGACCCGGCCCGAACCGGCCCGTTTTAACCGGGCCGGGTAATGTCCGGTTCCTATACAAGAAAATCCAATCCCCGCCCCGTCCCGGCCCGTTTCGGGTAATGTCAGGTTCCTACAAACTTAGGTTCGGCCCGGCTCGGCCCGGCCCGTGCCCAGCCCTAGGAGGGTGTCCAAATGTTCGATTTGACTACGGCCGTTGGATTTGATTGTTGTGGACGGTGGCGATTGGATATTTCTCGCGGGGTTGGTTTTCCTTATTTTTTTATTGACTCTTCGGGTCTACTTCCATGGTCGTCGCAAATTCGTCTTTTTGTCATTTTCATTGAACGGTGACGTTTTGCATTTGGGCTAGGACTTGACTTTTGGGCTTTCGAAAGGCTTTGGATCCACTGCGGTCCATATGGTGTGTGTGCAAAACATGATGAGTCGGTTTAGAAGTTGGTGAGCAAGGAAAAACTTTGGGCCATATTCCCCCCAAGAATTTAAGCCTTGGGTTAAGTATTTGGGCCCACTCGCTTACCCTACGTGACAAAGTTGTAGCCGTTGGGTCCCCGCGTTGACACATTTTCCGATCACTAGTTTTGAGCCCAATGGCTATTTCCTTGATCCAACGGCTGGCATAATTGGGTCGTTGGTTTATCCAATGATTCAGAACGAAATTTTTTTTCTTTTACAATTACATTAAATTGGACGGTTAAGATGAAATATGAGCAAACTTAAGGTAAAAAAGATCCGACAGCCTAAAATTAAGCCTAACAGCTAAATCAATTAAAAAATATTTTTAAATCAAATTTCACCTAAAAACTTAAAAATACCTATGTATTTATTTAAACATTCACACAAAATTAGGATGATCTATATAATGTGTAGAAATAGTTTTTCATATGTGTATGAACTTGTGTTTAAGAATGGCGTGGGTTGCCACTTAGTAGTTATTATGGTTTAGTGGTATTCCTTTTCACTTGTAAGTGAGAGGTCTTAAGTTCGATTCTCACCAAAGACAAATTTAAACTACATTATTATGGCTGAACCATTGTGAGGCTAAGCCCACTTCTCCACCCTTAAGGTAAATAATATCATTTGTTAAAAGAAAAAAATGAATGGAGTGGGTTGTGTGATTTTTCATTGTTTATCATAATTTTAATATTTTTTTAGGTTACAATATTCATAAAAATTAATTAGGATAATCTATATAAATTTTTCTTTAAAAAATTACCGAGAAAAAAAAAAGTAGACTAATCATTATTTGATATTTGGGGCTTACCTTTTAAACCAATCTGCAATATTAGTCACTTTCCTCTGCAATATTAGTCACTTTCCTCTGTCAATTGCCCAAATAAGTAAAAATGGGTACATTTTAGGTGCAAACACAAGTATCACTTTTGGCACAATTAGCATCCCCTCTATCTCTGTGTTTGCAACCTTGCCTTGCCTGCAATCAATCAAAACATATGCAAGCAAGAAAGGCCATGAGATTACAAACAGGTTACAAGTGTAATTTACATATACTAGTGAAAAGGGTAACTCTCATTCACTTTTCACCAACACGGTATAAGTGATAGATTCACAAATATAATCTTCTAGGCTTAAGAAATAAAATAAATCAAGTAGAAGCCAAAATATAAAACAGACATGCTTAGTCGAAGAGAGTAGGGATATTTTCTGATGACATGATCACCGTCGGAACTTCTCGAACAGCCATTGATTCCTGTTCATATCCAAATCGCCCGATTAATCTCTACGTCAGCCATCAAAAACTTGTAATTCATTTATAAATCATCTGTTAATGATGATTAACAAGAAAGGTCTAACCATGATTTTCTTTAGCAGTTCGTATTTATGATCGAATTCACCTTCTTGCCCTGCAACCACCCGAAATACTCAAAGGTCAATAATTTGTTGGAAAATACATGTCTACTAATTGAAATCATAATACCTATTTCTTACCTTCTTTAATACCCTAATCCATTTAAGTCATTTGGATCATACAGAGTCAAACAAAAATTTTTGGCACAAAGAATCAAATCTAGATCTATCAATTGTATCAAATCCAAACATAGCATGACAAGAAGTAACCATATAGATATGTATGAAGTATGATCTCCATGATGTATCTCATGTTGAAGTCATTCTTATATACATAACTTGATCAACAATTATTTTGGCTAGAACTTTCCGATATGGATCTTTAAGTGACTTCGATAAATATCTCTTTTTATTGAATAATTACTAGAATGTGATGAATTTCTTATTACATATGAACACAAATATCATACTACATTGTGAAGCTTTGAGGTGAAATTAGTGTTCATATCTTAGCATAAGATAGCTATGATGAGATTGAAGAATTATTTGTATACTACATTGTAAAGCTTTGTAACATTTAACATGCGGTATCTATACAAAATAAAAAATAAATAAATGGTGACGAAAGAGAAGCAGAGGGAGAGAGAGGAGAGGAGGAGAGACAGGTGGGCCATCCTCCTTTCTTTTTTTTAACGGAAGAGTTGAACCAAGTGGACCCTACTTTTACTTTATTAGCAGGTTAACCGATTTTGTAGCTTTTCAACCTTCATCTATTTTCACAACCGGTTATATTGCATGGAAGATTATTTATTTATTCTATTTTATTTTTATATTAAACCACAATCTTTAAGCGGGAAAAGCTAAATAACGTGAGAAGATCAAGGTTGGGATTTGTCTGCATGTTCATCTCAGATTTCTCAAATCCCTCTCCTTCTGACAAAACACGTATTATATTACAATGATAAGCAAAATAATTATACTAAAAGCAATAAAATTACAACACCCCATGTAATTTTAATGTGTATAAAGTGGGAGAAAGAGTCGACAGCAAGTGAACAAGTAATGGGTGCAAAAGCTGCATGGCTGAAGGCTACAAGCTTACCTTTGCATTTGCATAACTGTTACAGCGAGTACTAGTTGCTTTTTCTGCATGAAAATGAGTAAAAGAAATATTCTGCAAAGATTGATTAGACAGGGGAATTAGATTCCTACACCACCAACCTTAAAATTTTACTAATTTCCTAAATCTGTCACATGCTTTCGTGCTAACTGCTATAGATGATGATTAATAAAAGTCAATGAGGTCTGATTGGTATGTTGCACGCACAAAAGCAAAATACAAAACAAAAATATGCAATAATTACTAAATAAATAAAACAGGTTCTCTTTGAACTTTTTTTCTCCATATACAGTATGGAAGTTGGTGCAAATTTGAAGTCCGGCGATCGTTTTAACATAAGTTAAAGGGTATTTAGATAGGTATCCATCAATTTATCCTCTGAAGTTATAAGGATTGGCTAATTTTCCCCTTCAACTTTAATTTTGGCCAATTTCCTTCATCAACTTTCATAATTGGTCCATTTCCCCCCTCAACTTTAATTTTGGCCAATTTCCACCCTCAACTCTCATAATTAGTTAATTTGCACCCTACTGTTAATTTTTTTTATTTTTCATCTATTTATTCGTTAAGTAGGTATCCGCATGATTGCATTTGAAGGGCAAAAAAAGTCAATTTTCACCCTCCTGTCATTTTTTTTTTTCAATTTGCACCCTATTGTCATTTTCCATTGAGTAGGTTTCCCTACACCTTACCAGAGGTAGACGAGGCCGAGGGAGGAGGCGACAGGGTGTGGGCAGTTGCAAACTGCAAAAGCAGCATATCAAATGGATTGGGCTGCAAACAATGGAGGAGGGAGGGCTCGGCTTGGAGAAAAGGAAGAAGAAGAGAAAGTACGAAGAAAAGGAAGAAGATAGAATGTGTAGGGAAAATGACTTTTTTGCCCATCAAAAGCAGTCATGTGGATACCTACTTAACGGAAGAATAGATGAAATTTTTTTTAAAAATTAACAGTAGGGTGCAAATTGACTAATTATGAGAGTTGAGAGGGGAAATTAGCCAAAATTAAAGTTGAGGGGGGAAATTGGCCAATCCTTATAAGTTCAGGGGGTAAATTGATGAATACCTCATTTAGATATGCATTCAAATTGTTGTTGTGACAATCCATCAACAAGTTTCATCAGTTAAAGCTTGATTTGTGACTGGTTTGGGGCTCTAAATTTGTGACAATCCATCAACAAGTTTCAGTAGCTATGCATTCCAACTAAATAAATTTCCTTTTTATGATATGAGTCAGCCTCTTTTTATGAAGTTATTGCAATACTTTTTAGATACCCATTGAGAACCTTGAGTTGTTTAGAATTTAAATCTAGTAACTTATTGCACAATGATTAGAGTGCAAGATTTATGAGGAAGTGTTTGTTTCAGTTTTTTATTTACATCGATTTGACTTCAATTGCGAGCAAAAAAAACTTTTGTATTGTATTATGACACTTGGAGCACCAGACCATGTTCCCGATACATATAAAAAATTTCTCTTGGATTAGATCAATACAATATCATGAAATGGGACCGGAAATGAAGGCCCTCTTTTTTAACAGTGCAATTAAAATAGAAATTTATGACTTGATGAATATGACAATTTCATATATATATATATATATATATATGTGTGTGTGTGTGTGTGTGTGTGTGTGTGAGTGTGTGTGTGTGTGTGGATGAATTTGTGACAGATCTTAGACAATGAACGTAGGTTTGAAAGGTATCTTTCAGGGGTCAATTTTTGTAGCCGTGTAAACAAAGGAAAAGAAGCTGTTATACCTCAATTAGTTTTCTTTCATGTTACTCTCTTTTATGATACCCCATTTCCCCAACATTCTATTCAGATTAAAACTATAGTAATTAGTACTTGGAATATATGTCCCCCTTAACCTTTAGCAAAGTAATCACTTTATATTGAGCTCCAATTAGGAAAGCCTTAAGACTAGCGAGGGACGACT